GGAGCTTCAAAACGTGTACTATTCTCAAAGTGTAATTAGAAGTCAAGGAGAGATGAGATGGGCAGGGCATGTAGCACGAATGGGAGGAGAGGATGAATGCATATAGGATGTTGGTGGGAAAGAAACAAGGAAAGATATCGCTAGGAAGACAAAGACGTAGGTGGGTGAACAATATTAAAATTGATCTTAGAGAGATAGGATGGGATGGTATGGACTGGATTGATCTGGCTCAGGATATGGACCAGTGGAGGGCTCTTGTGAACACGGTAATGAACCTTCGGGTTCCATAAAATGCTCGGAAATTCTTGAGTAGCTGCATAATTGGCGGCTCCTCAAGAAGGACTCAGCTCCATGAGTGAGTGAGTGATACTTTAAAGAGAGGAAGAACTAGTGAAATAGGAGAATAATTTAAAAAGAATGGACCTTAAATACGTAGCGTATGATGGCGTACACTAGATTCAACTTGCTCAGGATATAAACCAATGGCAGGCCTTGTTAAAACGTTCACTGTGCTTAGTAGCCCCATAAAATATAGATAACATCTCAAACGCCTTAGCGACCACCATCGTTTCAAGAGCTCTGTCCCACTGAGTTACTTACGAATGAGCAGAAATGGAATAGACTTTTTGAATGCCCTGGTATCGTTTTCCGGTCCCTTTATCATTTAAAGCGCAATGGCTTCAATGCAAGTGCCACCTGACTTAAAGCAAAAAAAAAAAAAAAACACTCTCAATTTTTCCCACAGAATGCAGTTATGTGTGAGGCCTGATGTTCTTAAGGCGATGAACATCATGATTAATATCTTTCGTGATGTAACTCCATTGGGTCTGTCATAATTTTACAAAACTAAACGGCGTCACATCACAGAGGCGGCAATCTTCATGTTGTTCTTCTTGGAATAAACAGTGATGACTTCCCTACAGAAACAACATTAAGCGATTGATCTTAATAGTGGGGAGACAGCGCTTTTCGTCTACGGTGAGAATTGAATTTTATCGAGGAGTCGGTAAATAAGTCACAAATGTATACAAAACGCAAAACACGTGATATCCGAAACTGAAAAAAAAGAAACATTCCTTTCTCAGCATACCCTACACTAACATTGCTACACCTGTCCCATAGCTTTACCAATGTGTTGAAACCCGCAGCATAGAAATCTTACTGTTGTTTCAGCGACTTCCGCACCTCCGTTTCAAACTCTTCGTCATCGGCGAAACGTTTGCCACCAAGGTGGAAACGCTTTACGCGACAAACACTTCTCACCGTAAACAGGAAACATTTCTTTCTGAATATCCTTTTCGTTGACTCATTTTGCCAAATAAAAACGCACAACAGAACGCTGTTTTCGGTAGTATACACCTCAAGCACGGTCGCCATTTTGACTACTGAAACAAACCTCTGTATATGCGCATGCCCGTCTACTACTTACGCTGCCATGAAGCTGGACTGTGCTGCTACCTAGCCATACACATTCAAAACCTATTACGTCCATTACAACTGTTTTACTTCTATTTGTGTCATATTTACTGACGATCCCTCGTAAGTATAATTTAAAAGAAATACACGCTTTAGGAGGTTAACCAGTAATGTAACGTGTTTCTCTGGGAACTGGCAGTCTGCTTAGAGTGTCGACAGTGATTTTGATGACAACAGATGACGTTTCTCCTTTCCATCGCATCAACATCTAGGAGATTGCTTTTCTACAAATTGCCTTTCAGATGCCCTACAAAAATTAATCGTTTGAGTCGACATCGAGAGAATACAGTGACCAAGACCATCCACAGAAAAAACCAAAGTCTACGGAAGTAACACGCGTGGTAAGTAATTGTCATGGAATTCTAACCTGTTAGAATGCACATTTTACAGAAGCCTCATTGCACCCGCCCCCTTTCCATCCATCAGACCTGGGGCCATGGAAGAACTGTACCACTACGTCTCGGCTAATTCGGCCTTGACAGGTCTACAGTTCTCACACAGCTGCCACGTCACATTGAAATCGTTGCGTCTCTTTAGAGAACGAAACAGATGATGTTGCTTTTACGTGAATAGAACCGCCACGGTACTGCAACTATTGACGTTAAAAACATCAAAAAATACAAAGTTGGGCACAGTCTCCAACTGCAAGACGTCCCTATAGAGTCTAAAAAATAAAGACAAATCAATCCAAACGTAATTAAAGATGAAATATAAATATGGCTACATGCAACTGCATCCTTATATGAGAATGTTAGCTTTTCTGTCGTTGTGTATAATAGTTAGTACTTAGCAAATAGGAGCAGCAGATGGCAGAAATTAACGGCAGTGGAAGGTATACTCAATCTGTAATTCGACATCCACCTTCGCCGATTCAAATCCATAGGGTAAGCATATCCCTAGCTTCAGTAGCAATGCGTGCTGTGCATCATCGTGGCCGTTTCTTTTAAATGACCATCTGCGCTTGTCATAACAAATTCCCTTACTTTCACACATTTCGGCTTTTCAGTCACGGTTTGTACAAACCGTACATGCAGCAGTGGTTACAAACTACGTTTTAATTGAACTGACAAGCCGAAACAGGTCTGCTAGTGGACAGTTGTGACAAATGCCGTTGGCCAGTTACAAGAAGTAACCTTGGTTACGTAACGTCACATTGTTTATTCGCGGTTTAATGTTATACATTTCTAGAAGACGAAGAACTTTGGAACTTGGTCTCTGATATTAAGGGACGAAAATAGGTGTGAGATGAAGTGACAGGAGGTCAGAGAAAACTGCATAATGAGGAGTTTTATAACTTGTACTACTTTCCAAGTATAATTAGAATCAAGTCAAGGAGGATGAGATGGGCAAGGCATGTAACACGAATAGGGGAGACGATGAATGCATAGAGGATATTGGTGGGAAAGCCAGAAGGAAAGATAACGTCGGAAGACAAAGACGTAGGTGGGTGGATAATATTAAAATGGCTCTTATAGAGATGGGATGGGATGGATTGGATTGATCTGGCTCAGGATAGGGACCAGTGGAGGGTTCTTGTGAACACGGTAATGAACCTTCGGGTTCCATAAAATGCTGGGAAGTTCTTGAGTAGCTGCACAATTGGCGGCTTCTCAAGAAGGGCTCAGATCCATGAGTGTGTGATGAAGAACTTTAGATTGGGTACACCCATTACCACAGGCATCACGTATCGTGTAACATTTCACGCTGCATCCAATTACATTAGTAAAGAAATAAACAGCAGCTCATAAATACAGACTGAACCACAAACTAAGCATAGTATATACATGTGCATATACACACTAAAAAGCTGTACGCTACAAAAACGCAAGAAAGAAAATGTGATTATAGAGCAAACACTTGTAGTTAACATATGCTTATTACTTTCAACATGTTATACGGCTATATATAAAGCTAAGCCATATTTACACACAAGTATTTTCAAGGTGCGTAGAGCTATAAATATTACCTGACCTGACATAACCTAAACAGAAAGCGAGAAAATGGAATGGAAACTTTCATACTCACCGATCACGTACGAAGATACCCAATCTGCTTAACTCTGTCAGTCTTCATACACACGTACACACAAAGACGGTTAATTCACACTCACAAGGAACACACACTGTTGCTATAACCAATTTCTATGCTCAGGAAATGCCCCAAGGCCATTTCAAGCGAAAACTGACATCGGATGATTATCTCTGCATAGAGATTGGAAGCGGACACTTCGCTTCTCACTTCGCGTCACATCCCCTAGATGGAGTTCGTATTGCATTACGTAAAATGTAATAGGATATTTTGCTGTCAAATGTTAGTTACCTGTATCCTATGGTTTATCCGACGTTTAAGGAGGATCATAAGTCTTCAGGCCTTTACATTCTTAACAGTATCAATGGATTTTTCGGTAGGATCTGAGTTTCAAACAGCGGTGGCTATGAAGACGTCAACCAACATTTCGGAACGTTCCTCCGAGATTATAATGGATTTCGACGGGGTACACAGCATTTTCCTTTTCTGTTTTCAATCATTAGATCATTATGTAGTTACGTTTCTTTTGTAAGATGGCAATATAATCAACTCAAAGCCCTTAACCAGTTTAATCCAGTCCAAATCCTCACGTCCTATTTGATAAATCTATTTTCATGTATGCATATTATCCTCTCACAAACGATCACTTCAGGTCTCCTGACTAAAATGCTGCATTTCTGCTCCTCATTCGTACTATATGCCCTGCCCATTTTGTCTCCCCCCCTTATTTGCTGACCTTGTTAATATTTGGCACAAAGAACAAATTGTGACGTTCTTATTATGTAATTTTCCCCATTCTGCTGTTCCTTCCACTTAGGTCTAAACATTCTCCTCATATTTTTTTTATTGCTAGTGGGGTGGGACTAAGTCCCTTGTACTGTGGCCACTTCTGGCCTATTGTACCAGCACCAGATAGGTGAGGGTGATTCTGCAGCAATTGGTGGAAAGAAGATTGGCAGGGGAAACCGAAGTACTCAGAGAAAACCTGTCCCAGTGCCACATTGTCCACCATAAATTCAACTTGACCAGACCCGGGATCGATGCATACTGTTAAATATCTTAATGTGACATTATTTTATCAACCTCATGTCTATCACATGGTCCCAACAAAAATAGTAACTAATAAATATAAAGGAATGTCTAGATATTTAAACAAGAGTTATTTACGAGTATGTTCAACCTGTGGCTTCCACAGTGATGACCATGAACAGTACTAGAAGTATGCTGAACAAACAACAGAAAATAAGAAATCATCAAACAGAGTTCCTCTTGCTTCATTCTTGCGTTACTGGACTACATGGTATCACAGTCCTGAAGATGTCACTCTACAGGAGTTCTTCAATTATATGACTACACAAACATCTTTATATAACTCAGGAACCAATCCTCTCCATTGGAGTTTAACAAATATTTAAAGGCAGTGTGTCAGTGGGTGTCAAATAGTAAAGAAGCTATGGATACATTCTATTAAGTTTAAAAATAGCATAATACCAAACTGAGATCAAGTATTTATTTCCAGATACACAACAAAAACAAAGATTGGAATGCACAACTCGTGCAAACAAAAAATACAACTTACACATCCTAAGTCATATTTCTAAATTTAAAAATCAACCATACCTGTGCTTCATTCATCTGTGAAATTCACTCACCTAACAATTGAATGAAAAGATATGTAGCAGCTACTTAACAACTTAACTGACCGTTATACAGTCACATTATACTTACAATGGTTGACAATACTTCAAAAGATTATTTCTTGAACAACATACACCTCTGGATAACATTTAAAAATACAGATTATATCAACAAACGTAAAACTCTGAAACATACAAGAAGTTCAATATGCATGAATTAAAACAGCACTCCCTGACTATATACCATCGAATCCCGATATGTTAACTCAACATACACGTATGTAGGTGGCGGAATGTTTAGAACTCTCAGGTGCAAAGCTGCAAACACTCTCGCATTTATGCGGTGGGAAAACAAAGGCCATTGAATTTATGGAAAATGTCTGAAGCAAATTAGGTTGGCCACCATTCACAATGCTGATGCTCATAATCTGCCAGCAATTTTCATGATATCATGCCAATCTAAACTTTAGACTTTAAAATGTGTTTGTTTGTAGACTACATTACAAACTTCTGCTCGCAAATCTGGGCATAGGCTTTTGTGAAAAATTATTAATTTAAATTAATGCTCATAGAAATAACTTGCATGAAATCTGGAAATATCAACTTTACACTGGACACACAGGTTACATATTTACTTCTTTCAGCAGAAGTGTCTAATTTGAATATGATTCTGTATCAAAATGTTCAGGGTTCAAAATACGGAGGTCCTAAATTTTCAAAATTTCAGGCCAATGATAAGAAATGTTTAAATGTGCCAATTTATACATCCAAGCACAAATAATTTAGTGAATTGTGATAAAATATTCACTGAAGAATCTTTATGGTATGTACACCACGATGCCAATACAGAATAATTTGGATCACAAAGAAGAAGGCAGGTATTCCTTGGATATATCATTAATTTTTACTAATAATGTTGTTCTGTCCTCCAAGAAGGAAAGAGACAATTTCTCTTAAACCTCACTGTAATCAGCCTAAACTTCAAGAAATGGACAGTAACTTCCTTTGAAATACTGTGATCTTAAACAGTGCAACAGTTCTAACCTGAATCAGTAACTTCACCAATGGAGCACATTAGCACAACACAGCACAGCACAGCACAGCAATATCCTAAAATACATTCGTAATTTTTATAATTTTGTTACTGTGTTATACCCAAATAACTCCTTGGTGAATATGGATTACCATGAAACTTCAAGGTCCCATATGATACACAACTTGTTTATTTCTTCATTTCAGCATCTTGGACAATTTTAGAACTGTTCATAATGTCTTGGAATCATTGTCTGCATGCAGTGTACATTTAATATTAATCCCTCAGTGTGCCCTTAGTACATCAATGCCCCCTTATGTATAAATAACCTTAGGTGAAATGACTAAATTCATTAAGAACTTCTATTGCTGTGTTAATGTGGCGACCGAATGCAAAAAGAATTGCATAGAAGTGTTGATCGCAGAGTGGGTGTTCACCAAATTTGGTACCATGGACAAGAATAACAGGAATAATAGAGAGTCATGTTCAGATTGTGACGAAAACTACACATAACTCACAGAGTAATTGATTGCCAGATTTAACTCTCATCATGATGCATAATTCAGTGTCTCTGTTATAGAAACTGGTGGCCTTGGCTGCTCAGAATGTTCTGAAAACAATAACAGTGACGACAACATAGCACGAGTTATTATTCATATACTGTAAGCACCCAAAACTAGTATTTTAATGTCAGGTAGTTTAAAATGTCTGGTTAATGTCTGGATTCGAAAACCATCTTCCTCAAAAGCAAGAGAGTGAACAGAAATCAAAATTGTCGATAGAGCACCTACTGTGAATTAGGGTTTCACCATCACAGACAATGCAATGTCTGCTTTCAATAATGTTATTACATATATGTCTTACAAGAAACAACATATTTGTATAGAAACTGCATTCCCATGAAGGAAACTCCAGTAACATCAGAGATGGCAACTGCCTCAATCTGACTTAAGAGCACTAATAAAGTGAATGATATAATTTTATTTGAAAACCTTAATCCGATGAAGCCAGGAACAACTGCACCTTAAAAAGATAAAACTTTAAAGTTCTTATAGATCAAAACTGGTAACATGCATGGTCATTCTAACTTGTTTAAGATGGGATTGTGGCAGTTAAAGTTAAGCTCCAGTAAATAAATGTAAGTAAATAAATATATTTATTGACTCTAGCACTAGAAATGTCTGCACACTGTGAGTGAAATGGCTCCATTCCACTAAAACCGAATTTATGTCATACTTCTTACTGACTTTTCAATTTAGGGTCTGTTTAAGCAGGCTAAAGTCTATGACATCTATACAATTTGAAATAATTTGTGATTCATAAAATATGCTGTTGTTTTGAATTAGAAAAGGAATATTAATCAAGACAAAATCTGGGAAATCTACAAAATATGATGACATAACAATAATCTGACATTATCAATAATGGCTAGGACTCTTGATTAATTTTAATTCTTTCATTCATATAGGTCCACAAAGAGAGCACCAGAATCATAAAAAGTTAACACAGTAAATGTTAATCTATGTTTTCATAAAAACTGAAGTTCTTGTGTTTCCAGTATTTACATGTAATTACTATTCTCAATTATTACATGTAAAGCTAAGAATAAAAAATTGAAATGGGCCCAGTTCACATTTGGTTTAATGTGTGCCTGAACAGCTTGAGAGCTCCAATCAGATTTCAGGATATTGTATCCAGATTAACTACTAATAATGCACTAATAACGTATTGTTACGTGTTTTTGTATCTCTATAAAAATTAGTCCAATCTGTATGAATGATTTATAGCTATTATAGCCCAGTAAAACTGAGTGACTTTCCACATAAGGATGTCTAAACACTTTGAAACAGAACCATCAAGCCACAAATTGAGAAATGATCACCCCTTAATACAGTTAAATGTGCAAAGAAATAGAAATCACAGTTAATTCCCTGTTCCAAAGGTGTCTGTAAATCAAAGCTTGATGTTGCATTTATCATCTGATCTCATGAAGTCCATTGCGGGATTTCATATCGATTCAGGCAAAAATATGGACATAGATTTCAGTCCACAATGGAAACAGCGCACAGAATACCACAAAAGATGAAATTGTGATTCCAAATGTTTCCTTCCATAAACATAATTGAAAGAATTGGTTGCAGCAGCTGGATATACGTATTTCTACTGAATTACAGTTAAGTTTCATATTACTAATTATGATATATGAAACGGAAAGTAATCAAACGTCACAAAAGGACCGTTAATCTGATAAAAAATATTAGAAATTATGTATAATTTAGAAGACGAATATTTAGTATTCAGTGTTTTGTCACTAGTTAAATATGACCTTATGAGGCAGGAACTAACTTTCAACACTGAAATTTGAATTCTTAAAGTTTTTAGAGCCAAAACTTTACATGAAGGAACAACGATTCACTAAGCTCTCATATGTAACAATTCGGTATTCTTGACTTCATCCCACATTACGTTCATATTGCTCGTTTCAGCAACGTACAGGTGGTGTTAGCATTCATACAACCAACGTGTATACGTTAGCAACTGCTGGGGCCTCTCAGATCAAGCCGCGGACTGCTGGGGGCCCCCAGGAGGGGGCTGACGAGTGCTGGGCGTCGCAGAAGCAGAAGAAGATGAGAGGCTGTATGGACAGCCGACAAACTGGTCTGAAATACGACCCCCTTCCCGTAACCCACTGAGAAAAGCTCCATGGACAGTAGCTGGGTAGTTTCTGATAGTATGCTCTCCTGAAACATAGAGGTCACCGCAAGGGAGATAAAGGGATAAGCAGCATCAACAACTAAACGGAAGGAATACATGTACAATCACAAAACCCTTAGTTCCTAATTGTGACTAAAGTCCCAGAAGATCCATTAGCGTGACTAAATTTTTTTTTCCTTGGCACTACAGCCCCAGTGGGCCTAGGCCTACCTCCATGAACTTCTCCGTTCACTTCGGTTTTTCTAGATCTTACACATATGGTAGGACTCCTTGGGTGGGTGATCAGCTCGTCGCAAGGCCTCTACCTATACACAAACACAGAAAAACGCACAAAACATCCATGCCCTGAGTGGGATTCGAACCCACGATCCCGGCTTCCGAGCGAGCGAAGACAGTACATGCCTTAGACCGCTCGGCTACCGTGGCCGGCAGCGTGACTAAATACCAAGCCAAAATTCTGTATCGCGACGTAAACTTAAGTCCCACACGTTCTTTTATGTGTGCATCTTATTGAACAACACTTCTCCACCCAAGAGTTTACACAGCTTCGAATGAAAGGTCAGTTACGAATGAAGAACGAGAAAGATGTGAACACATAATTTTGGGACAGCAGCACAAAAAATGATCAAAAGAAACGACATAGACCTAACTGTGTCAACATTTGTTTTTATTCGCTGTTGGTGGTATCGTTACATGTTTCGACCCTTTTCCTTTGCCATCTACAGGCATACATGAATATTATTTAGCTTCTGAATTGCATTATTAATCAATATGAATTCATATTGTACCTGTATGATTATTATATACCGACAATTATATCTTAACTTTAAAATTCGGTTAAAATACAGTTAAAACTAGACGTTAAACTTGATAATAAATGGATAAAAATTAAAATTACAATTAAAATTAAACGACTACTAAGGTGTTTATAGCAAATATTACAAATTCCATTTAAGCCCTGTACCTGCTACATATCGTGTTTGTATTGTTTCTTGTTCCACTATGGTAGTTATATTGTGCTGTGGGGTAACTGCTTTCTTCAGAACATAAGTCGTGTTGGTTTTTTGACCTTCCTATTCAGCGTGTGAAGGCTGAACACATTGTTCGGGGTGTACCACTCGGGTTGTTTATACGTGTACGGAGACCTCTGTGGAAGTCAGAGACCGCCTCTGTGGTCTAGTGGCCAGCGTTCCATTCCCGGCGCTACCAGATTTTTTCTGAGAAGTAATGGGTCTGGAACGGTGTCCACTCGGCCTCGCGACGATAATTGAGGAGATATTTCAAGGAAATAGCGGCTTCCGTTTAGAAAACCGAAATTAACGGCCGTGGGGATTCGTTGCGCTAACCACGCGACACCCTCTATCCGCTAAAGTTGGCACTAGCTTCGCCGAGAAGCGGCGGTCGCTCGGTCGGTACAGTTCGCTTGCGGACTGAAATCAGGGAGTTCCTTTGGGTATTAAGAAAATCATGAAACCCTACAAATTTGGAACGAAAGGAATCGAAATATGACTTCCTGATGTGAAAGCAGGAGTGCCAACCGGTCAACCATGTAGTTCAGACCTGTGACTGTCTCCGTTGCCAGTACTGGAGCCCTATAAGAATGGTTCGTGTAAATTGTATAGGTACAGTTTCCATACCAAAACATACGTGAACATCGCCCACAGGACCGATATTGTAATGAAACAAGGGAAACATGAGCTACGCCCGCTAGTAGTACACAGTAGATGGTGAAACAGGGTAAAGTAGGTCCTTCTTGCACATGTGGGAAATAGAAGATCTTTGTGAACCTCGAGACTATGGCAATTCTATTGTCCAGATGCTATCAGAATCACAAGAGAAAGAAATTCGGGCCATGTTACATAAACAAGAATTTAACAATAAATGAGTCAGCTAATACTGTTCGCCTAATCAAATTGGAATATTATGATGGCACGCAATATCACTCAAATTACGGGAACAAAATATAAACACATAATTTTGGTGGAGAAACCTCTTCAAAAGCGGAATATCCATGGAGGAGGTACAGTCAGAAAAATAATATTAAAATGGAAAGAAAATTGCGAGGACGTGAAGTGAACTGAACAGGCTCAAAGCAGTGTCGATTTGCGGTATTATCTGTTACAGTGCTGGATCTTCAAATAACGCTGCACACTACAAGCCGGAAGGTCGCGGGTTCAAGTCCCGATGAGGTCACTGGATTTTTTTTTCAATTGACCTAATCCTTCCAGCCGCACTATGGCCCTAGGGTCGACTGAGCCTCTAACAGAAATGAGTACCAGGAATTAATTAAATAATTTTCCTGGGGAGTAAAGCGCGGCCGGCGCATAAGGCTGACAAACTTACCGCCATATTTGAGCCGATTGCCTAGATAGTGTGGGAACCTCAACATCTCACAACCCTATGAGCCTCCACGGCCTGTTACAGGGATATCTTTACTTTTTTTAATAAATAATAAAAATTTTCCCACGTACTGATTTATTTTAACCCTTTCATTGAGAGATTTGCTCGTAACCTTTATGCTCCCGCAACGAACTTCTTCATTCAAAGGTATTCACTTCTATCAGCAAAATAGTTCTAAGTGTACAATTTCCAGCTTGAAATCGCCGTCTAGGAATTTGGGAGGAAACACACGTCACTTCACACTGCTTTAAGAGCCACAGCTTTGCTTTGCAAGGGTTAAACACAAAACGCCTGATTCCGAGCATCTCAGGAAAGGGAAAACCTATTCCATAAAGACAAAATACACATATATGTTTCTCAAACTTAGCACTTTGCTACAAGCCGGAAGGTCGCGGGTTCCAGTCTCGATGAGGTGGGTTTTTACAGATTTACCTAATCCTTCCAATCGCAATATGGCCCTGGGTCGACTCAGCCTCTAACAGAAATGAGTACCAGTAATCTTCCTGGGGGGTCAAGGGCGGCCGGCGCGTAAGGCTCACAAACTTACTGTCATTTGTAAGCCGATTTTCTAGAGAATATGTGGGAGCCTCGACGTCTCACAAACCTATGAGCCTCCAAGGCCTGTTATAGGGATAGCTTTACCTTTTTTTTCTACCATTTTTCTGAAACTACAAAACTAATCGACAGTGTTGGCCGCGCCATAGCTCAAGCGGTTAGTCGCTGGCTTCCCATCGCGGCGGCCCGAGTTCGATCCCGGGTCTGGTCAAGTGGGATTTGTGGTGGACAAAGTGGAGCTGGGTCAGGTTTTCTCCGATTACTTCGGTTCCCCTGCCAATCTCCATTCCACCAATTGCTCCACAATCACCATCACCTATCATCTGGGTCTACTACAATAGGGCAGAAGTGGCCGCAGTACAAGGGACTTAGTCCCCACTCCACTAGCAACAACAAAAAATATCGACAGTGTTCCTGTCCTCCCCACGCAGCGCCGCATGGGTGAAGGACATCACTCTTCGTCATGTGATCTGCGCAAGGTACTTAAATTTGAAAAGCGCAGAAACAGACGAAGATGAAATAACGAGTAAATAATTTACTGGGCATGATATCTGTCTTCGAACGTCATTTTTAAACTGTCGGCATTTTGTATAGGCTAACCAACGAAAGGCAGATAACGTGTGGAATGGAAATAAGCCCTCACGACAAGACGTAATGAAACAAGTCTAAGCACGAAAAGTGAGTTCGTGTCAAAAAAGAATGTAAATTGTTTTCTTTTTTTATTATACCGTCTTTTGTACATGCTCGTTCTACCGATGTTATGGAACGGAACAACCTACGAAAAAGTTGGAAAATCAACATACGTGTATTTTCATGTTCCGTCGTTTAACCAACCGATTAAGATATACAGACTATTTTTATTTTTTTACCCTGTTGCGTATATTGTATGAATCAGGAAATTGAAATCACATAGCTAGAAGTAACTATACAGATGAAACAATCTTGGATCATCAGTGTGGGTTTCGACGTAACAGATCAACTACAGATCAGATCTTTCGCAATCGTCAGATATTGGAGAAAAAATGGAAGTACGATGAGACGGTACACCAGCTATTCATAGACTTCAAGAAAGCCTACGATTCAGTTAGGAGGGAAGTATTGTACAATATTCTAATAGAGTTTGGGATACCCATGAAACTAGTTAGGTTGACTGAAATGCGTTTAAACGAAACGTATAGTAAAGTCCGTTTAGGTAAACATTTGTCTGATAAATTTCCTATCCAGAATGGTCTAAAACAAGGAGATGCTTTATCGCCACTCCTTTTTAACTATGCTTTAGACTATGCCATTAGGAAGGTCCAGGAAAACCAGGTGGGACTTCAATTAAACGGGACACGTCAGCTGTTGGCCTATGCCGATGATATGAATCTACTGGGTGAGAATGTAGATACCACAAAGAAAAACACACAAACTTTAATTGACGCAAGTAAAAGGAAGTTAGTCTAGAAGTAAACACAAAGAAAACTAAGTATATGTTAGTGTCTCGTCACGGGAATACACGGCAAAATCATAATGTAAAGATATCTAACAGATCATTTGAAAATGTGGCACAGTTGAGATATTTGGGAACGACGATAGCAAATCAAAACCTAATTCAGGAGGAAATTAAGTGATTGGATTCGGGTAATGCTTGCTACCATTCAGTCCAGAACCTTTTGTCTTCTCATCTGCTGTCTAAAACGTAAAAATTTGGAATACAAAACTGTAATTTTGCCTGTGGTTCTGTATGCGTGTGAAACGTGGTCTCTGACATTAAGGGAGGAACACAGACTGAGGGTGTTGCAGAACAGGGTGCTGAGGTAAATATTTAGACCGAAAAGAGATGAAGTGACAGGAGGTTGGAGAAAACTGCATAATGAGGACTTTCATTTCGCCAAGTGTAATTAGATTGATCAAGTGCAGGAGGATATGATGAGGGGGGCATGTAGCACGAATGGGGGAAAAGAGGAATGCATATAGTATATTGGTGGGAAAACAAGAAGGAAAGTGACCACTATGAAGACCAAGACGTGGGTGGGTAGATAATATTATCTTATAGAGATAGGATTGGGGTGCATGGACTGGATTGATC